GAATGACGAATCGTGCGCTCTATGCTTTTGTTTTTGCGGTTGGTGACTGGGAGGGAGGGGAGTTCTGTGTCCCGCAATTAGGCATCAAAATTCCCGTTCGCCCCGGTCAACTATTGGCAGTCTTAGCTCGGGTCCTCGCTCACTTTAGCGCTCCAGTCACAAGTGGCCGTAGAATAGTATTTACTTGTTTCACGGACCGTTTGCTTTTCCGTCACAGTCATAATATTCCAGTAGTTGTCTTGGCATAGAGACCCTTATCAGTATTTACTGTAAAGCACACTAGGAATGAATGTCCAATCTTAGACCCGCACCTCACAATCGCTAAATTTTTGCGCCTATCTTTTGCAGGTCAACGTCAACCCACACCACCACCTCCAAAAGCACACACATCTGACTCCGAAGGCATGAACTTGTCTTCAAAAATCAAGACGCCTCATACTTGTACCAGGATTTGTATCCAGACTCGTGGATCGACATCCGAACTCATGTGGATTGGCATCCACGCTCGTGGATCGACATCCGGATTCCGGACTCATGTGGATTTTAGCTCAGTGGGTGAGTGTATTCATTTTCTGGACATCCGGACTCATTCATGCGCAGACCAGTACAGTACGACTTTGGACGTGACATGAACTTGTCTTCAAAAATCAAGACGCCTCGTATACTTGTACCAGGATTTGTATCCAGACTCGTGGATCGACATCCGAACTCATGCGGATTGGCATCCACGCTCGTGGATCGACATCCGGATTCCGGACTCATGTGGATTCTAGCTCAGCGGGTGAGTGTATTCATTTTCTGGACATCCGGACTCATGTAGACCCACAGAAACTCATCAAACGCACGATATTCACAGACCACCTCAAGATCTTGACAGATAGACAGGACGAGCTGCTTCAACAGCTTGTGGGGCTTACGAAAGAGGGGTTCTCGAAGGCACAGGGGAGAAGAGCATTGTTGCTTGGGGTGTGTCATCTCCATCTTTCTGGTTCAACATCTTGTCCTTTCGTTCACCCGTGCTTGTATACTGTTCACGTATGCCTGACGTTCTATACCTCACCTCACCTCACCTCACCACTGACACCTCTTACAGAATGCCGCAAAGAAAAACCGAAGAACAAAAGTGGAGCAGATACTAGCCTCGTGTTTACAAATCCTGAACACGGGGCCACTACCTGATGCTGAAGCCATAAATTACAGAGATGAGTACATGTGTTTGTCACCCCAGGGCGGACAGGTTTCATTTGCAGTGACAGGATTTATAAGTTCAGTTGAAACTTTCAAATTTGTCAAAGCTTTACTAGTGCACTGACTAAGCGTGCTCTACCTAACAGTCCGTCCTCAACTCCAGATACAGGGCCATTTTGTATTGCTACAGTCTCATCAGTTCTTCTCGAGGTCAGTATTCAGTGAAAACGTCCAAGGCTTGGGTCTCACCATATGCATAAGATTGGTCTCAGATAACCTTTGCAACGACACGAAGTACATTATATCGTGGACTTCAGTAGGATGGAGCACGTCAACTCTGGCAACCAAACACCACAATGAATTCGCTCTCTGAACCTGCTCAAACTCGGTGAGACAACTTCGAACATCCCTCTTCAGTGATTAAATGCGTGGCCATCGCAGATGTCTCATGGACACAAACCCCAGCTTGGGTTGAGCTGACATCTCCTAGCATACACCACAATCACGCACTCTTTTGGTCTCTCGCATCACTCAGGTTTCTAGAAACTCGCTTGAAAAGCCTGGAATTATCATTCACAAATTGTCCTTCTCCTCAGCACTAGGTTTCCCTTCCTCCGGACGATCACATATTATCCTTTGATTTACTTCACTACACGAGCGCCCATCATACAAGCCAACTCCTCCTGTGAGTGAAAGTTTTGGGTATAAGTTGCTCTACAGATCTAACTTGAGTATATATCGATCCACATATGGTATGGTGACTTCAGCCAACAATGCGAGGAGTTCCCAGTGGATCAGTGCTTTGCCCCATTGTCTGACATTGCACTCAGGGTGTCTGAGGTGCAAGAAGAGTTTCGCACACGAAAAGGGATTAAGGCTGCCATGATGAGCGACGAAAGGGACCCGGAGTGATAGTCAGATGTTAGGGCATTGGGGTGGATGTGGGTAGATTATGTAGCAGAGCAGACGGAGGTGATCTATGGAAAATGGTGAGCGGATTAGATGTCATATTTTCATTCTGACGCTAAAAGTTGTGGCTGTTATAAGGCATCTGGTGCTCCTCGACGCTATCATTCAGTCAAATGGAACCTTTGTTGGCACTCGTGGTTCTACTACGTCCACACTAGCTAGCCCCAGAGTACAGTCGTGGCATGATGGAGCAACTCGGCTCATTAGATGGGGGTGGCCAGGTGCGGATAACCACTGATGCTGATCGGAATGCTGGAATTGAGACTACTTTACACTTGATAAATCATTGGCTACAATGTTCTTGTATTTTTTATTCATGACATGCATAATGGTCGCTCTCGGGCTCGAACTCACAGGCAAAAGCAACAAAAGCTTAATCTTCTTTCCGCACAAATGTGGATCTGAATCTACTGATTCCCGCTACAGCAGTATACATACCTCAGAAAAGCAGGCTCTGCTGCGAGTGGCCTTGCATGTCATTCATGATTAGTAACATCATTTTAAATCCTTCTCCTGACCACACTTAAAATACTAATAAGCTTTAACTGATGTTACAACACAAAATTCTCTCCTGAAAGCATTCTAAATCCCAACAAACTTTTGATTCACTGTAAGATTAATATATCTAACTGTAACAAAGTTAATGCATTGCATTGTTTTTGATATAAAATAATAACGGCATAAGAAGTCTGCTTGAATCTTGAACAAAGGTAAACAAAAGTGAGAGACAAAATGTTGATCTAAGCTTGATTACTACATTGAATATTATCTGATGCATTATAAAAAATTCATCCAAGATATCTAGGTAACAAAAACATTAAAAAAAGGGTGATAAAAACATCAACTTTTATGGTCGAACAAATGTTGACAAAAGTTATTCAAAAGTTTATTCACTATCACACCACAAAGTCAAAGTTTTGTCTAAGTTTGTACCAGAGAAAAATTGTTCAAATGGTTAAACTACGTGTTGAGACAATATTGTGGATGAACAGTGACTTAAGATTTAACTAAGATCAACCTTTTGCATCACGAAAAAGTAGATAGAAAGTTCAAATTTTGACCAGCATTTTGCAGGCAACAGAATCATGAAATTTATTTAAACCTTTTTTAGGATTTTTTCAAGATTTTTCATGCTGGAAAAGTCTTTCATGCTTCCAGTGAGATACAGGAAAGTAGGCTCTTCCCATTATGGCCAAAGTTCCACAGCAAAGCCAGCATCCTGGCCCCTGGGTGGCGAAGGACTATGCTGATTGCTGCTGTGGTCAGTAGCAAGTTTTTTGTATTTGTTTCAATCCATTTCCCCTAGATCATCTGTGAGCTGCCATTCGTCTACATGTTCCTATGTTACCTCATGATATTGCCTCCCCGAATCCTTTCGTTTGTTATGTGATTCCCAAGTGTTAGGAGTCCACTATTTGCCAATGGACCTGTGGTGAACACGGTGAAAATAATTCGAGACGAGGACAGGCACGTGAGCGACGAGTTGAGAATAATGACCATCAGTTTCTGTCGAGATGCTAAAGCGAATACCATGCTGACACAGTCGGTTCGGGCTTTCGGGACTATAGTCTTTGATCAAAGTTGAACTTTGGACCTAGCCAGGTGACATAATATTTCACCAAGGTCATCTGTCCCTTCGACTTATTTGCCCATACTAGTTGAACCATGTTCAATAAGCCCGTCATCGGTATTGGCCACGTCTCCAGAGCTTCTTTGCACAAAAGTAGCCTCGAACTCCACAAACTTGACCATCCATGGCATGAGAACTGCATATGGTATGTGGTAATGTGTATTATGTCGGGAAGCCTATATGCAACATACATATAGAATTGCGTGTACTAGACGCAGCTAGAACGGAAACACGAACTGTTGGGCCCATCTAGATTCTAGAATGTCATCGCCATACCAACTGCCATCTTCAATCACTGGAAATCTGAGAAACAACATGTTTTGGAGTTGCCGATCCAAAATCCCGAATCCAAAATAATCCAACATTCAATCACAGCTGACTTGGATCAGAGTTTGAAACGATTGATTATCTTCAATGGTAATTGTCATGCATCCATGATGCTAACAACTCCAACAACCAGAGCAGATCAAAGGAAGCCTCGGGTCTCCGCTACGAACGTTCTAGGGAACAGAAGCTCAACATGTCACCAGGTGGAATGCTATGTCTTTGGGGTGACGATCTAATCAAAATTGAGGGCATGGCCAATCAGGCGAATTGGATGAAACATGTAGTACATCTTCTTCCTATCTGCCGCATGGACCCCTGAAACAATTGTGACCAGGCCCGTTGACCGATGCGGAACATTGCAGCAACAAGACTTAGACGCGCGAGTCTATTTGTCTATATTGGCAAGCAGGGTACTTATGATAACCGCCTCATGTTTTGGGCGTCCGGTGAGAGGGTAATCCTATGTATAAAGCAGGTTTAAAACACCCCATCACACGCACCTGTGCAACTTTGAGCAAGACCTAACGCCCAAACACACAAAGACCACTTCAACTGTGCTGCAGCTTCACTAGAATGGCAGCGCTCATTCCAAACATCACACCCACTTGAACATTCCAAGATCATGAGGATTGCGTGATCGCACTCGCAGTTTTCCGCGACCGTGATGAACGCATGGTCACGGGTTCGTATGACGGGATGCTTCGTCTATGGGACTTGAAAACAGGTGTAGTGTTGAAGAAGATGGAGGGGCACTGCAGTTGAGTGCAGGCATTGGCTATTTCACCAGATGGGCAATGGATAGCAAGTGGTGATGAGAGTGGCGGATGGATTACTCAACTTGCGCCGGTTCACGAGATTTTGGAAATGGATCTACTAGTAGTTTCTGAAGAATCAATGTATTCGAAAGCAATTCTCTTGTTCATCGTACAAACTAAGTCTACTCTGAATTCATCATCGCTCGAAGGTGTCCTTCTCTCGCTGTGTTAATGCTTTCAAACAAGCAGTGAAATGGTGCGGGGCGACTTTGGCAGAGTCAGCTGCAGGCACTTGAATATATACTACACTTACATCAATGAGCCAGTAGTGTACTCCGGCTTCACCTCAATCCTGTTTCCATTTGAGTCTTTGGCATGGTCGATGCACAAAACAGCAAGTATGGAAGCAGCTGCAGTCCACAGACTGTACTCTACAAACCAACGACCTGCCAAGGGAATTTGTCATCATCAACACTCCCAGATCAACCATGAAACAGCCTACCAGGACAAATACACCTGCGAGGATCAATGAATGATTGGAAATGATAGCAAGTGTGAAATATCTACCTGCCATGACCAAAGGCAAAATGGTTGATGAAAGGGTTCTTCAGCTTCCTGTCAACAGTTAGATGGCAACTAGGATCGAAGCGCGATGCATCGGGAAATATGTCTTCATCCCGAGACAGTGCCCTGAACAGTGTTCAGCTCAACCATTGTATGTACTCCACCCTGACATACCACTGATTGACCATTACTATTGTACCTGATCGAACTACAAATGAGTCAACAACAACCTTGACATATGCGACTTCGAACCTTTGGGTATAGAGTGCCCATCGTAAATATCATCATTTGCAGTTGCATGTGCAACTCCTGTGCACAGGGTTAGCCATGCAAACAAAAAGCTATGTTACTGTCAGCCAACCTAGGGGGGTGGGAGGATACCACCTCATGACCTCGCAGAGAATGGCATCAAGATAGGGCAGGGACGCCCTGTCATTAAGGCACGGCATTTTATCATGCCTCACAACTTGATCAATTTCTGCACGAGCCCGGACTTGGACGTCAGGATAGAGCACCATAGCCAGCAAGAATGTCTGCAATATGGTTGCACTCTGCGGGACATCAAAGTAAGAATCAGAACTGCTCAAGTGGCGACTCACAGTTTCCATGCCAGCTAAGAAGCCGAATTCCCGTCAATAAATGAATTAGACCTGGTAAATAAAGACTCTTACCCATATATACTGTGAACGCAACAGGCTTCATTATATCTTTGTCAGCATCATCGTGGGGTTGGCTGAGAAAGTCAGTGATTAATGAGCGTGAAGCAGTGCCATTTGCCTTCATGCGAACAGATCAGGTGAAATTTTCATCCACAACTGCACAAACGTACCACCTGTGCCTTCACTTCGTTGAAGGGCTCATTCAAAAGGTGTTGAGATAATTCTCTACTGTGTCCTATCAGTGAATGTGCACTGAAGCACCAAGACGGCAACTTTTCGACTGCAGCCTCATTCTAAATATCCAAAATGATGTCGTCGACAGAGGCGCTCACGGAAAGGAAAGGTTGTGAACATGGCAGCCTTTTTAGGGGTAACAATATGTTGTACAAGATCAGCTAGTACGTGCGCGCAGGCAAGGTATGAGCCTTCATTGCCGTCAGCAAGGTCTCCGTATGTCACGGCTACAATTATGCTTCCCGCTGTCATGCATGGTATGTGATTCATACCATGTCAGATATATATAGAGAGTGATAAGGAAGATATGAGAGACTGTCTGGCCCTTTGTCACTAAGTTACCTCTCTATTTTTCCTTTATTTCATTGTCTTGTATTTTATTTCTCACTTTACAGGCTTATTTTACCTTGTATTTGTATCAAGCATGTGACCTTCTGTTTATTTCTCATTGTTTATTTTTATTTGGCTTCTTTCAGCCACCAAGTTTTGTATCTCTATTTATTTCTGACTGTTGATTTGTATTTGGCTTCTTTCAGCCACCAGCTTTTATTTGTCATCACATCATGTGACTGGGAAATATTCTGGTTTGTAACATTATTTAAGCTGACTCAACATGTTTAGTCATGATTGGCCATGCTTTGTAACAACATTTAACATGACTCAACATGTTTAGTCATGGTTTGTCATGGTTTCTAATTTCTTTGTAAGATTACACTGTATTTGTAATGTACTTAGTAATAAGCTGATTCATCACCTGGTTTGTAAGCCACATTCTTACCAATCCATCTGATTAATCATGCTTAGTAAGGGGGTTCCCAAAAGGTATAAAAGGACCCCATTTTCACCCATGAAATATAATCCTCCCACCTGACTCTTATCTCAAACCGTGTGAGACCACTAAGACTTAAAGTGCAGGCCAATATAAGTGCCTTGAGGTAATCTAAGATATCACTATCTATTCTAAAAGTTATATACTACCTTACAGGGGTCGACTATATAACTTTCATTATCGTTATTCTACTCTAGGTTATATACTACCTTACAGGGGTTGACTATATAACCATTGAACAGCTCTCATTCTAAGCTTTACGTGTATTCATAAGACTCTCCCTTTCAACGGAAAGTGAGACACATCTAAGGACGACAAAGTTGAAACAGACTTTCATAGGTTGAAACACGACCTACTAGGCTGAAACAAACCTAATGAATTTATCCAGAACACAGAACATTCCACAACAACTTCGTATAAGACTACACAAGAAGAGGACAACAAACTAAATCCTCCCACTTGACTCTTATCTCAAACCGTGTGAGACCACTAAGACTTAAAGTGCAGGCCAATATAAGTGCCTTGAGGTAATCTAAGATATCATTATCTACTCTAAGTTATATACTACCTTACAGGGGTTGACTATATAATTTCGTTATTGTTATCCTACTCTAGGTTATATACTACCTTACAGGGGTTGACTATATAACCATTGAACAGCTCTCATTCTAAGCTTTACGTGTATACAAAAGACTCTCTCTTTCAACGGAAAGTGAGACACATATCTAAGGACGACAAAGTTGAAACAGACTTTCATAGGTTGAAACACGACCTACTAGGCTGAAACAAACCTAACGAATTTATCCAGAACACAGAACTTTCCACAACACTTCGTATAAGACTACACAAGAAGAGGACAACAAACTAAATCCTCCCAAGAACTCACCATGTTACCTCCCACGAAGTAGAAAAGTCGGAGACCGTGGACTTAAGGACTGGCAAGAAGTCTTCACCATGTATAATTGTGTTGTCATTATACACAACTTTTATATAAGACCCTTAAGTAACAAGACATCACTGGAGCCCACCGCGAGGGAGGCTTCTTCTTGTACCAAACATTGCAAAACAATTGTAAACAAAGCACACTTCATATAATTCATTCCACCCACACAACAAAACGTCAACAAACATATTTAAACACAACAAAGAAATCACAACAATCGTAAACAAAGCCATACTTTGTATAAATCACTCCACACACACATCACAACATCAACAATCGTATCAACGCAACACAAACAAAGGTCAAACATGACTACACGATCCGTATTAACATTGCCTAACCCTGGAACTAAGGCAGCACCTGCCAAATTCAAGGGTGGATTTTCAGAAGTCAAGGACTTTCTGAAACACTATGAAAAACTGTGTGATTATCACAATGTAACCTCTGATGAGGAGAAATGTGAATCTATTACCCAGTACATGTCCCGTCATGTAACAGAATTTGTAGAGGGACTACCGAGCTTCAGATCTAATAACTGGGGCAAACTCAAGGCTGACATTCTGAAGTATTATGATGCAGACCTTGACACGAAGCGATATAGACGCAAAGATTTATTGTCCTACGTAAGGACAACACGAGGAAAGAAAATCCCTACACTCACTGCTTGGAAGAAGTATGTGAGAGGGTTTATTCGTATTGCAGGATGGCTTGAACAAGCCAAGAAATTAACAAGTGAAGAATATGCAAGTTACTTCTGGGAGGGGATTTATAAGAAACTCCGTATCAAAATTGAAACACGCCTCATGGCCAAGGATCCAGACAGAGATCTATCTGAAGCCTTCCCAGTAGACCGAGTTGTCGCAATAGCAGAGAAATTGTTACACCGTGACCGGTTTGATGCAGACCTATTAGTTTCTGAAGAAGAGACTGAGTCTGAAACTGACTCCTCTACTGAAGAAAACTCTGATGCCAATACCGACTCAGAGTCTAGTGAGTCTGAGACCGAGTTTTTTCATAAGAAGAAGAAGGCCCCAGAGCCAAAAGATAAGAAAGAAGTAAAGAAAGCTCAAAAGAAAGTGAAAGGACATGTCAAGGAAGCCAAAACTAAGACTTCCTCAAAAGATACTAAGAGTCCTAGTATCACTTCACCAGAACCTATGGATGAAATGGAGGGACTCATCAAGAGACTCAATGCAATCTCACTCGATGATCCAGACTATGCTTTGTACTACTACAGGGCAACACGAATTGATCCTTCTGTCAAAGAAATGATAGCAGCCCCTATTTTGAAAAGAGGTAATGCTACCCAAGGAGAATATAAGCCTTACAACAATCAGAATGGACAAAATAATGCAAGGCAAAACAGTAACACCAATCAGACATTCAGAGGACCACAACCAGGTACTAGGTTCTATCACCCACCGAACACCCCTTTCAATGAATGAACATGCTTTGGTTGTGGTGAAAAGGGACATGGTATTCCAATGTGTCCACAGATCAATAAGCTAATCGCTGATGGTAAGCTACAGCGTACACACCGTGGACAAATAGGAAAACCAGATGGAAGAGCTGTAAGACGGCTACCTGAAGAAACGATTATCGAAGCACTAAAGCGAGAGGACAGTGTGCCAGTAGCTCACTTTATCAAAGTGAATAGTGGAGACACACAAACCTATAGTGCAAATAAGGAAAATAAAATTCAAGAGACTAGGACTGCATACATCGAAGAGTATGTGAGTTCTGATAGCAAAGATAGTGACATGGATGATTCAATCAACCAGTATGAAGAAACTGAAGAAGAAGAAAGTGATTCAGATGAAGAAACATATGCATTCCCGGTTGAAAGAGTCACACGAAACTCCACACAAGGAAGACACGAAAGGTTTCAGGAGGTATTCCCTCCAGGTCAAAGCAAAACCCTAAGGAAACCAAGCGAGAAAGATAAAGGGAAAGATAAAGTTCCCACTACTCAAGCCAAGAAGGCTGATACTCATACCAAACCTAAGTCCACACAACCCGTTTCACCCACAAAGACAAAGCCCGCAAATAAGAAAGAGACAGGAAAAGGTCTAGATAATGGGTGGGATAGTGAAGACATCATTATGGATGATGTGGATGAAAGGACGGTCAATGAGAAACACCCAAAGACCAATGACACACCTTACAAATCAATCCCAAACTCTGATCGTAAGAATATGACAACACGTCAACGCGTCTCTGACATCGCGGCTAAAATTAAGCCAGAGAAAATTCTTGAAACAGTGTTGAGGATCCTATCCGACTTGAGGTAGGAGAGCTTCTTGGCACTTCCCGTGAGCTTAGCGGAATCCTCGCTAATGCTATCAAACCAAAGTCCTTACCTAATGACTCGAAGATAGAAGCACATTCGGTATGGACAAAGACACGTGGGCTATTAATCAAAATAGCCATGCATTGTGACGGTCAAGCGATTAACGCAATAATTGACACGGGTTCACAACTCAATATCGTAAACAAACACATCTGGAAGACTATTATTAATAGGCCTATAGATATTGCCAAGTCAGTATCTATGAATGATGCAAATGGCGGTGAAGGCAAACTACGCGGATTGGTACAAAATGTTCCACTAGACTGTGGAGGAGTTAGTACTCACGCGAATTTGTTTGTTGGTGATCACGTACCATTCAGTCTATTATTAGGTCGTCCATGGCAAAGAGGAAACTATGTCTCCATTGACGAAAGAAAGGACGGGACATGGTTATTATTCAAAAATCCACTTGATTTAGAGGTCCGTTATGAACTTCTATGCACTCCGGACGGAAATGATCCTAATTGGGACTTTGAACCGTCCACTTGGGTCACTAATATGGGCGAAACGACAATGTTTTGTGAAATTAATGAAGAATTACCGAATTCGGAATTTAGTGTGCGAAACTCTAAACTCAAAAATCATGTGACCAAACAATTACAAAATGATTTCCGTGCCGAGAATTTTATTCGTAAGAAATTTATCAGCAAAGGCCAAGATCAGTCAGCCAAAATTGAAATAAAAGATTTCTCAAAATGTATAAAAGAAGCGCCAGAACCAGTGCTATGCCCAGCGCCCACTGGCCTCGTGTCTGATCAATCCAGCGTGAGGCATCCAGAAATCACACGCACATCCATTTTTGGTAATCTATTGCGTTTTCGGAATATGCCGGAACACGCGTTCGACAATACTCGCGCCGAACTGGCCGATTTCCTTTTTGAGAATCCCGGCAATTTCCGGTTCAGCACTTCCATTGAGAATGACGCGCTCACACTTTCCTTCCACGCTACTGCCTTCTCCCCACCTGCCGGCAACGACCAGGATGATCCTCCCTCTCCCTCTTATTCTCCCATCCTCTGGAACGAATCTTCCCTGGACCCGGACGACCCTGAAGAAGATCCTGGAGCTGGAGACTTTGTTGGAGGGAAGGGTACATTTTTTTTTAATTCTTGTTTTATTCAAAATCTAAT